TTTCTTTCTCTTTTTTTCTGGCATTCACCCTTAAAGTTGCATGCCAGAAACTGGCATGCACCCCTAAAGTTGACACACACACACACACACACACCCACACCCACACACCCACACACACATTCTGGCATGCACCCTTAAAGTTGGCTACTGCGTGCCAGAAATTGACGAATGATTACCGTTGTGACTTCAAATGCCACACAGTGGCCAACCTGAAGTCGGACACGCTAACACATGCACAAGCAAACACGCATAACAAATGCACACACACACACAGGCATATACAGAAAGACACACACACACACACACGCACACACACACACACACACACACATTCTGGCATGCACCCTTAAAGTTGGCTACTGGGTGCCAGAAACTGACGAATGATTACCTTTGCGACTTCGAATGGCACGCAGTAGTCAACTTGGGAACAGACACGCAGACACACGCACAGACCATTCATACACACACATCCATAGACATATAAACAAAGACACACAGACATCCACATAGGTTCATACATAGATGCCACACACACACACACACACACACACACACACATACACACATGTCGATAACGTCATTGTGCGTTTCCGCTGGCAGAGAGAAGAGGACGAAAGACAAACCGTACGCATCATGTCGATGTCAGTAGCATAGGTGAAGGCTGCTCTTGCAGAGGTAATGAAGTATGCAAAGGAGGGCGTTCACTACAACGGTGACAGCGAGTTGTCTTTGCTTCAGGACACGGTGCCGAGGTACTTCATAGTCGCTGTGGATATGAGATCCACAATCATGGCAAACGACGAGGGCTGGGTCAAAGCACGAACACTCTTGCAACGCTTCAGAGAGTCACCACATGTACGTGTGGACAACGATGTGGAAGACAGTGCATACAGTCTAAAAGGAGTGGTCCAATGGATCTGCAGCGAAGGGATGTGCGAAGAAGGAGACATGGACATGACAATGCAGCAGACAGGGCGGACATATACACCTGCGAACTTGGGCAAGTTGCTGGGCACTGCCGCACGGAATGGGGGAATGCTGGTTGATGGGTCGAAGGAGGAGTTGAAGAGTGGTGCTGCAGAAATATTGGTGTTATCCAGAATAAATAACATTACACAAACACCGCCACAAGACTTTCAAGATGTTCCTGTCATTGTCGCAGATGGTGTGGAATATATTCTGCTGGATCAACTTGTGGACTTCATGAAAAAGAGTGACGACGACAGGAATGTCATCCATGAGGCGTTGCACGAAGTGACAGAGTTTGCACTGCAGGGTCAAGATCTGATAGAATTTGTGTCAGCAATAACAGAAGACAAGATCATATCTGGCAGACCGTTGTGGGGGGAGTTATTATCAGCTGCTTTGGAGCGGCTCGGTCTTGCAAGCTGCGATGTTCAAAGACAAAGAGAAAGAGAAGAAGGGTGGAAGGTGATGACCACGAAAATAAATTTAGCAATCATTCCAGAAAACGGACAGACATCAGCATCACAAGAATCAATAACCAGTATGGCAGTCGATGTGCCTCTCATGCAGACAGCAACGAGAGAGCAGCTAGTGTGTTGCGATATCTTCAATGCTTTCACAATGGAGAAAGAACAGTGTGATCGTGGATTTGAAGAGGCCGATTTGCCAAGTTGTTGTGCAAAGTACACAGACAGTGCAGAAGAAGAAGATGAAGAAGAGGATGAGGGGGCATTATCTTCTGACGTGGAAGTGAGCGGCAGCGATGTCAGCAGCGACGAGGAAGACGAGGAACATGATGTATACTATGATTTGAAGGGTGCGGGTGGACAAGTGACAAAAGGGTGGGCACATGCAATTCTGAGGCTCGCACGTGCTTTTCCCGATCCGCACAAAGTGCTGCGTGTTGTGATGAAGGGGGCAACACCAGATGGTGCACTACAGTATGCCGCAATGACCAGCATAATGAAATCATGCAACAAGGGAAAAAGTGGTCACGTGTTGGCAAGGGATGGTTTGTTCTGGTCAATAGAGAGGTTGTGCTAGCAACGTCACTGACATGGGGAGTCAACCTGACTTGCCTCATACACGGCGCCAAGGCGACAGCTTGGGGAGAGACATTACACCCCGGCTTGTCAACAGGAGACGCAATAGTTAGTGCTCGGCCACAGCAGCGACCGGAGACACACCCACACACCACGACAGACCATGTTAGACATCAGGGATGATGGCAGACATGCATCCCTCAACGTGTACATCCCTCTATGTCTGCCTCAATTTCAACGACGGTCGGGTTCAGTACTGCGTGCCATATTAGTGTCCACCGGTGCTGTTTGTTGTCGTTTTGGCCCGCACTAGTGAACCTCCTCTCTCTCTCTCTCATATATATATATATATATATATATATATATATATATATATATATATATTTCTCTCTCTTTCTCATATGTCGAGTTGTAGCTATATTAGAACCTCTATATCCATCTGGGGGTTACATTTGATGCTGCCTGTTGTTTGCCTCTCCAAGAGAGAGAGAGAGTTCACTACAGCGTGCAGACACAGGATTGAACAATATTTCAATCATTTGATGATTGTTACGATGTATGTCATAATTTGTTGCCTTTTGGAGTACGTGAGACATATCAGACCCCCTGTGATGACCAATGTGTGTATGTTGTGTTTTTTTTTTTGCATTCTCTGTAATTTAAATTCAAATGTAGTAGGTTGTGAAATGTTTTGGAAGTTTGTGCGGAGGTCGGCTGAGGTGCCGAGGTGCAATCATTTTCACCCGGACATGGAAAACACATACCACATTCACAAACGTCGTGGATGGATAGTTACGAACGTGGTCAGCCGCAAAAATGTGGTGACGAATGTTGTGTCATATATCGTGTACCATGTGTAAGTCGTTGCCTCTTCGTGCATGACCATAGAACCTGCCATGGCATATAAATTATCGTGTCGCACGGCTGACTACTAATTTTTATCAATTGGGATCAACGACACAGACCATTCGTACCAAAGACGGCAATCGGTACTCCCTTTCTATCTCTTTCTCACAGAGAAGAGGATGTGTGACACTTATACAATATAGCAAAATATGCTCTGCAACTTATAATTTTAACGACCTAAACCAATCTACAAAATGCTAATGAAAACACTGTCCGCATCGCTCTGTTTGTTTTTGGAATGCACTGCGTGCACAGAAAATGGACAGCGGTCCACGGGTGTGCGACTGTGGCAGGCCTTTTATGTCATTATGAACTTTGAACTCACATTGTGCGAGGGCATGCCTAGCCGTGGCGGACGAAAGAACACATGGCCAGGAGATGGGTGTGGTCGATGACGCCGGAGCATCAAGTATAGGTGCAGTGAATCTCGTGAGCGATGAGATGAGGACGTTGGGGCCCCCGAGAATGTAGACGGCGAGGGCGGGACATTCGAAGAGCAGCAACCGCAGCCTGTCGAATTTTTTGACAGCTCTCGCAACCTGGCGGCACTGATTTTCTCCGCAAGGGGCGGCGTCGGTATGTCGCAGAGCGACATAGATGCTCTCTTGTCACTTCTCACGGACCCGAAATTCTGCACGAGAGACATTGCGTATCGTAATAGTCGAGAGTGTTTGACATGGGCAGGGAGTCTAGCTGACGTTGCTGGATGGAAAGAGTTGGATCTACGTTGTGACGATTGGTCACGGGATGCGCACGCCATCTTGTGGCACCGCGACTGGCGAACGACATTTCTGTCGATTTTTCATATCGCATTACAGAAATGCGAGACGGTGTCTTCTCTAGAAGTGTCTCCGTCGCTAGAGCACCTCAGTATATCCAGCCCACGCAGCGGGCGATAAGTTATCACATCCAGTCGATCATTCGAGCGGACAAAGGCGTGGATGGGAATGGTAATCCACGTTATGTTATCCCTCTTTCATTGTATTTCGACAGGACACATACAGACGGTCGTCAAAAACAGACGGCGTACCCTCTGATGATGTCACTAGCCGACCACGCATCCGAAGCCACACTGCTGACCTATCTTCCTGTGCTTCATCATCGTCCGCGTGACAAAGAATGGGGTCTGCAGTCCACCGCATTCAGAAAGAGAAAGGCCATCATTTTGCACAAGGCTCTTTCAGTGGTGTTGCAGTCTGCGAAGGAGGCATCTCATGACGGAATAATGATACCGACAACGCGATTCGGGGACATAACTGTCCACCCTTTCCTCCTCAACTATATCCAGAACTACCCAGAACGATGTGCGATTGCAATTGTGAAGTTTGGTGTATGTCCGACATGCACCGTGTCCAAAAACGATTTTCATGTCATAGCCGATTTCACAAACTGCAGGAGATCACAGACGCTGGAAACACACCTCACAGCAGATGTATTCACCGCCGACGACATCGACGTTCGCTGTGCAGCGGAAGCACGAATGTCGGAGTTGAACATGCATAGGCATGTTTAACAGAACGGCCTTTGGGGGTTCTACAGGGGACCCAATTGTGACGATCCTCAGCTAGACTTCCATCTGGCATTGCAACCAGACCGTATGCACACAATCGAGCATGGCATATTCTTGCACATGATTGACGCATTCAGGACCGCAGCCTTTGAGAAGTTGCCGCACTTACCGCAAACAAAGATCCTGAAGGAACTAGATGCAAGGCTGCAAAGCGTTAGTGAGAGATGCACGCGAACATACCCCCAACTCGTGTTGCCGGTGGCCACTGGCAACGACTTTTTTTCGAGGGAGGGACGGTTCGAGGCGAAGCAAAACCGGTCTGTGATGACAGTGTGCGTGTTCCTTATTTCTAATATTATACCGCGCTCGACAGGCAAGGGCATTAACGTTTGTTTTGTGAAACTGATGGAAATGTACATACGAGTGTTTCGGTGTACAACACACAGTCATACTTCGCTCGATGAATGCGACGCTTTGATCACAGACTTCGTAACGACCATAAAAGGAAAATTAGAAAAATATCAACCATCAACATGGAAACTCCCCAAGTTGCACGATTTCATGCATCTAACAACGTGTATTGAGCGATCCGGTGTCCCCGACACCTTCGCGGCAGATGTTTGGGAGCATCACCTCATGAAATTCTGCAAACAGCCATACCTGTCATCAAACAAGCGGAAAGCTTCAACCCAGATGGTAAACCATGTGCGTCGGTCATTGGCGTTGCGCAAAGAGATCGGGATTGTGAGGAAACGGAGGAAGAGAACGGTTGAGAACCGGTCGTCCGTGACAGACTGTATAGCCACCGGAATGAACACCCTCGCACTACGCGACACGACAATGCTGCAACTGCGGTGGTTCGACATCGATGACGAGTACAGACGCGAGGGAGAAGACATTGACAACCATGCGTGTAAGATACTCGAAGAGCTTCCTTTCAGACGCAATTTTCGAGCTGCGCTTACGACATACATGGTGGAGAATGGTTGTCAACCTCCTTCTGACGACGTGCTTATACACATACGGACACACCTGGTCATCGCTTGCGTACAGGACGGAACAAACAGGGGCATAATTGTTCAAACTGCAAGAGCGTCGCCACAGTTCCATGGGAGACCAGTGCAAAGTGATGTCGCAATTAGAGAAGGCAACGAATGGATATGGTTTGCATCAGTAGCCATGTTTTTTGTCGTGGACGCACCCGCGGACAGCGGTAGTATGGAACACAACTGCGGATTTGTGCAATGGTACAAGGAGGTCGACAGTGAACGGCAACACATGACAGGTTGCAAGAAATTGAAATGAGAGAAGTTGAATGGACATCAACACAGTAGCGTCGTTTCAACCGACACTATTGTAGACATAGTTCACATTGTTCCGCACTTCTCTAAACCACAATGGGGATCGAAGCAGCATGCAAAACAGCGTGAGGATTATTTTTATTTGAACAAGTACGTATTGTAGAAGAAACAAAGTTTCTATGTTTGCTAAGAGAGAGAGAGAGAGAGAGAGAGAGTTTCTATCTGTCGTCACCACGGGACAGTCATGTTGTTTCTTCCGAAGTATAGGGGAACAAGAGAGGACATTCGTCTCTTTCTTTCCGTTATTTGTTGAGAAATATCATGTGAAATGTGGCAAAGCTTATGAAGCGGTGAAAACCACATGCGAGACGAAAGTGTCCCCAAAAGTTCGCTACTGCGTGACATTTACGTGGTCAACAGTGATAGTCGTTTCACTTTTGGCACGCAGTACCCAACCTCTCTTTCTCTCTCTCTCTCTCTCTCTCTCTCTCTCTCTCTCTCTCTCTCTCTCTCTCTCTCTCTTATGTGGGTACGGAACCGGTCATCGGTCCAAGGATGAAAAATAAAGACGAACAACACCGTAGAGAGGTGGTAAGCGAACCGTTGTTGCCATTGACCACTGAGAGGTCAGCAAAGAGGTGGCAGAAAATGTTGAGGGACCCTTGGTACTCGGAAATGTACGATATAATGACAGAGGGTGAAGCAAAGTCTCCCCAGTTGATAATTGAAGCACTAAGGGAAAAGCGAAAGTCGGGGACATGACGAGAATGAGAGAAGAGCAGACTGACATTAATGATGACGACGAATTGACCGTTGGCTTGACTGTTGAGGTTGTCAAAGGACGATGCGAGGAAAGTTCACTACTGCGGGCATTTGTTACATAAAAACCGGTGACTTCACCAGTTGATTGGCCCGCAGTAGCCAACCTTCTCGCGGTGATGGTCGGGGACATGTTCGAAGTTTTTCTTTGCTCGCTATTTTTTTGTTATTGTGACTATGCGAACCCGTGCCGCCTTACAATACGGATACAGTCATTCTGACGCACAGAGAGGTTGGTAACTTAAATGACGTCGCAGTATCAACAATAAGATTTTGGTTGTCTCTCTCTCTCTCTCTCTCTCTCTCTCTCACACACACACACACACACACACACACACACTCACTCACTAAATGCGGCCATTACACTTCAGGGGTGTATGGATCGACGCACGACATTGCTGACGCAGTTGTTGTTCGTATTCCACTTTGATGTATGTGGGGAAAAAAAGGTCATGGCTCCAAAGCCAAAATACGAGGATCTGTGCAGGTCTTTGAAGGACGTGGGAAAGAAGGACAAGGGGACGAAGAAATGCAAGGCTGATAAGAAAAAAGAAAGGAGAAAGCATCGCAAAAACATATCCCAGAATGCAAGAATAGAGCAGACCAGCAGCCGCATAAATGGATCAAAAGTTTCTCTCCTATCAAGTCAGAAGGGGATTTCAAAGTTGAAAGAACGCAATTAGTCACCCCCTGCGACTCGTGCCCCACGGAACCGTGCCAGCAGCGTCGAGAACCGTCCACCGAAGGCCCTCGAGAAGAGGTCGCGGGAAGACGGAATGTCAAAGGTGCACCACAGGACAAAGAAGAGAATCACGTACAAAAAGGACAGAATGGTGGAGATGATCGATCTGAGAGCCTCGGACGATGTGCACAGCGCGGCCCGAGAGGAAGCAGAAGAGGAACACGACCAGTCTATATCAGAAAAGTCTGACGGGGAGGAGAACGAGGCAACAAGTGACGAGGGAGGTGACAGTCAAACTTCCGACGGACATTCTCGCGACACTCACGACGCTGATGATGAGGACGCCAGGAACAACGACGGCACAACGCAGGACGAGGGCGGTGACGGGGCAGACGAAGGCAACAGAAGCGCGGACAGAAGAAGGAGTTATCCATCTCCAGGAAGAACACGACGCACGAGGGAACCCGAAAGTGGAGGCGAGGGAGGCGCAGCCGACGCACCCTCCATTGACAGACAACTAATGAGGCACGACAACGCAGTTAAAAAAGGTAAACAAAATGTGTTGAATTTGTTCCTCTTGCACAACGATTACGTGGTGACGGCGCAAAGTGATGACAGATGTCACAGTGATGAACTTACAGTTGAAACGGCCTGTCGAATTTGGCAGGTGCAAAAATGGGTGCGCAATGCGGAGTTCTTAATATTATTCTATGCGTTGTAATGTGTGTCTTCCAGCAGATGGCACAAACTCGCAAAGAAAAGTGTGCGCGAGCAGGGGAGGACAGCAACAAGGCAATCAAGAAAGCGGCGTATTCTCGTAGAAAATGAAGGACAGACTGTTCCGGGCGGTCGCAAAAGCCTTTGCGTTCTCAGCAACAAAGAACGCAACTCTGTACCCAATAGGGGATGGATTTTTCACAGCGCTGCAAACAACGGCCAAACTGATAGGCGAGAACGCCGAGGAAGGACTGCGATCACATGTAGAGGAGTGCGGGATTCGAGCAGTCATAGGGGAGTGCAACAAAATGATGACAACCGTGCGTGGAGAGATAACATGGCAACTGAAGCATTGGTTCTGGGTTGAAAAAGGGATCCCGCTTGTGCGATCGCAGCAAACATATCACCAGCTCCCTACTCGCAACAAGATGCGAGCAAAGATAAAAGAGAACAAAACGTGGAGATGGAGCAGCAACGATCCTTGGGGAGCCCCAGCCTTCAAGACGACATTCACCAAGGTTTTCCAGATGAGGAGAGACGGCGTAAACCTTGGTGTGATCCTGCAGCAACTGGCTTTTGCAGAGATGGTTCTGCAATGCGAAATCGAACAGACAACAAAGACCACCAGAGCGGCGGAGCAGATAAAAAAATTGATCTCTATAAAGCAGGACATCGTATCATCTGTCCGCAGCCGCGATACAGTCATGAGTTTTTCGATCTTCAAGCTGGATTGTGCCGTATCTGTTGTTGAGAAGGCTGCTGCGCTATTTCGAGTTGGCGTGCCCTCTGTTCACAGGAGTGGGCCACACAACACAACAATAAAGGATGACGATTTCGACCTGAAGTTCATTGCACCGCAGCATGAGAGAAGCAGAGACGGGGAGAGGGATACAGAAAGTCTGTGCGCCAGACCTTGAACAGCGGGGGGTGGGAGGGGGGGGGAGGTGGTGAACAGAATAGTGTGAATCAGAA